CGGCTGCCCCGCCGGGGCTGCTCCTTGGGCGGCGTGGCGCTGCTGGGGACGGTGGGGTTGAGGGAGAGCAGGGGGGTGTTGTTGTGCCGCAGCACCAGCATGGCATTCCTCCGGGACAGCTCCTCCCGCAGCGGGTGGCCCTCGGGGATGTCATGCACGTTGCGCAGGGCCGGGTGGTCCGGGGGCAAGCCGGGATGCAGGCTCAGCGGGTCACCAGCCAGGAGCCTCTGCCTGTGGAGATTCTCCAGCTCCTTCTGGCGGATGATCTCGGCTGACATCTCCAACCTAAATTGGGAGGGACAGAGAGGGAATGTCGGGGTGAGGGGCTCTGCGAGTAACCTGCTAACCCCCAGCCGTGTTGATCAAGGTATGACCTCCACACCCATACATTTGTTTCCATCATTCTCACTTCGACACCCCAAATTACTCCGCTTGCTGCTAAAAAAGGGAAGGAAAAGCCCAAGCCAAGCGCAGGCAGGCCGGCCCTCTACACTCTTTACCTTGCCAGGTTTTGCTTTCGGAGCATCTCTTGCTGCCGTGCAAACATCTCTGCTTGTGCCGGCTGGAGGAACCCGTAACCTGGGGACAGGGAGAACAATAATATGGGGTTATTAATCTCAGCACTGACTCTTTGCTAACTCAGGGCCAGCTCCCCAGAGGGCTAACAGAGCAGGAAAGGGCATCTGAGAGCTGCCTTGCTGTTCCAGAGCCCATTTATTCCCTCATTCCCAAGGCAGTGCAGAAACACAGGACCACAGAGGCTGGTGGGGATTAAAAGAGACAGCAGCCAAGGCAAGCTGCTCCTGTCACTGTAAAACAAAGGTGAAATCAGCACGGCGGTAACGGGGAAACACAGAAAACGTGTCTGGGCTGTCTGGCTAGAGGACAGGTTGTCACAGCCTGCACATTCACTCTACCCACGTCCCCTGGTGTTTCTTATGCACTCACCTGGTGTCTGGCACAGAGCCGAAGGCACCCCCAGAAAAGGGGGTCTCAAGTGGGGCCCCAGGGCAATATGGGGCGCATTTTGGGGCGAGAGCAGCGGCGGTGGGTGGGAGATCTCCCTGCAGAAAGCAGAAAAGAAATTCACGTTGAAAATCCAGAGGCTGCATCCACAGTGCCCAGAGGGCTCAGCAAGAACATCCTTTCTGCGCTCTGTACCACAGGCTGTGCCGAGATAAAAAGATGCCTGTTCACCCCTATGCAAAACTTCTAAAAGGGAGAGGAAAAAAGAAAAGCAGCAGCAGCAGAAGGGGAATAAAGCAGCCAGGACTCCATAGGTCCCACATATTTCCCACCTTGATATGTTTGTTTCTGTGGCCTTTGAACTGGGCTGTTCAAAGGGTTTTGGGCTGCCAGGACTAGCAAAGGCGAGGCTGAAGATGCTGCAACTGCCTGTCCCCTTAGCAAGCTTAGGTTTCTGTCTCAACTACCTTCTAACTGAAAAGGTATTCTATATTTTGAGAGCTGGAGAGCAGGTCTGGGAAGATTTGAAGGCATTAGTGTCCTAGCTGGGACATCTTTAATTTTGGAGAGAAAAGCTGTAATGAGGCAGAGAAAGACAAGGACAGGAGAGATGGGGAGAGGGGCCTGGCAGCAAGGCAGGTAGTGCTTGCTTGCTTGCAAGAGGGGGAAAATAAAGGAAAAAAAAAAAAAAGCAGGAAGGGAATAAGAGCCAAGGTCTCTTCCATTAGTCAAATCTGCCCTGGGAGCCTGCAAGCAAATCTCTGCTTTCCGGCTGCACGTCTCTTAATTCCTTTTGATGGCCACTTACAACATTATTACCTTCACCAGGGCATCCAGAGGCAAAGCCAAGTGCTGTGCCGTTTATTTTCATTTTACAATATCTCCCTATAAAATGTGCTTCAGGAGAGACTGGAGGGCAGGAGAAAGGGAGCAAGGAGGTGCATGCGACTTTGCAACAAACAGAGCACACACACACACGTACCCCTTTCAGTGTGGGGATGATGTGTGAGTGTGGGATAACGTGAGAATCCCGGCCACCCACACCCCCGTCCCACTGGGGATGGATTTACAACCACGGCCCGTGAAAAGCCAGACAAGGACTCTTTGGGGCAAGGAAAGGATTCCTGCTTTTTTTTTCCCAGCGTAGTTTTATCCTCGTTCCACGCAACAAAACGCTGCCACACACTGATGCACAGCACAGACCGGGCTGCGATTCCCCTCCAAAATTCCTCCTTCTCCCTACCCCTTGCCCATCTGCCTGCGTCTGCCTCCCCCTCCCCGTCTGTCTCTGCTCCCCTTCTCCCCTTCCTCTGCCTGTCTCCATCTCTCCTTTCCTCCTCCTTCCTCCCCTAGCTCTCCTCTAAACTAATTGCAGAGCTCGCCGCGTCTGGAGGAGAGCCACAGATCGATCCGTCGCTGTTGAAATGTTAATGCTAATCGTATAACCGCTCCGCCAGCACCTCGCACTTCAGTGGCAGCTCCAATTAATCTCAGGTAACGCAGCGCCTGACCTTCGGCTCGGAGCCGGGGCAGCAGCCAAGCGATGCTTATGTAATTACACCATGAAGTGTGTAATCACCTGCCCTAATCCCCGAGGCCTCACAATTAGCCGAGGCCTCGGTCGCTGGGCTGCCAAGTGCTTTGCCACCCCGGACAGCCTGCAGATGAATAACGGACAATTAAAGCGGCATGACGGGGGCTAGGAGGTGTCCGTTCGATCGTAATTAGCTGTAATCACGGGGAGACGAGCCTGGCAGACGTGCTGTTCGTTTTATAAGAAGCAATTTAGGAAATCAAGTCGCTTTTAACCATTCCGTGGCCAGGCAAGTGGCAGCCGTGCCCTCCCTGCCTTTTATAAACGCAGAAAAGTGGATCCTGTACCAGAGATAACAACGCAGAGAGACCCCAGGTGCAGGCTGCACGCAGAGACCTCAGTAGGAAATGCTAAAAACAAAGAGAGCTTCTCGATTTTGGCCAAGAAGAGACAATCTGTGCCCAGGAAGCAGGCTGTTTGATGGGGATCAGGTCTGGGCACTGGAAAATCAAAGGTTCTCCCTTTGGTGGCAGCCCAGTGTTAATCAGAGGATGTTTTTTGGCTTTAATGTTGCACCACAGGGCCTCACTTTGATGCCCAAGGAATTCACATCTGCCTGAGACCCTGCAGTTCATTCCCATCAGAGCTGGGCAGCTTCCCTGCCTGTCGGAGTCAGGGATCAACCCATCCTTTGGACTGGCTGATGAGTGATGGGAAGGGGGATGAATTGGGGAAGGGGGGACAGCAGATGACAAAACTGCTGTGGTACCCGATCATGCTGCCATGTGGTGGCTGGGAAAGGGCTGGAGGTAGCTGGAAGAAGCTGTAAGAAACCCATCAGGAGCGACTTCCAACGTGAGAGGTCAGCTGCTGCTGCTGTTACACACACAACACACGCTGGGAGGAGTCCAAAGGTTCAGCAAATTCAGGGAGACACATTCACACACGCTGTCATTGTGCCTGACACAGCACACCACACTGGAGACCCCAGAGTCGTTCTCCCTAATGCTCAGCATCAGTCCCCAGCAGCAGATAACTTCTAAAGCAAGCTGATACGCTCACAAATAGGTGGGGACAAGGGACACTCCTCCCTGCAGGTACACTGATGCTCCCCAGCTCAGGCTGCAGACCCCAGAGGAGCAGCGGTTCCTTCGCCTGCGTTACCACAAAGGATGGACGCTTTCTGCCGTCCCGCAGCCCCAGCCTCCTGGTTACCCATGCAGGGAACCTGCTGGACTCTGCCGCTGCCCCCTTCCAGCCCATCCGCCCGAGCCTTGGCAGGGAACCTGGCACAGGAGGCAGGGAGTGTGGCACAGAGCTGGGCTGCCTGCCGAGGCTGCCTGGTACTGATACAGCCAATTGCTTCCAAGCAAGCTGGAAATCAACTGGCAGCCCTGGAGTAAAAAGCCCAGAGACCTTAAGAAAGGCTACTGTGCACACCAAAACACAAATCCTTGTGTCCTTCCTTAGGTACATATCAGTCTTCAACCCCCCATTAATTTCCTTCCTCCTCTTCTTCCACCTCAGTCCCATACTCCGAGAACGTGAATTTAGCCCTTGGCGATTACATCTGATAAACCTTGTCCTTACCTTGCAGAGAGCAATTCTGTGTTACTGCGTATTTCTTCCCCCACCCCCTCCTTTCCCCCCCCCACTATGCCAGCTGGAGGCCTGTGAGCAGGGTATTAGGGGATTTGCACTGCATGCTGCTAAATTTGATATGTCCTTTAACAGGAGACAAATGGTTCACAAGGCTTAAAAAGTATCGACTTTTCTTTAACAATAAGCACTAATGGCCTTCAAATAATCAATATTTAAAGTCATTATGGGGTTACACATTATACTGTTAAAACCAAGCCTTTCACTTTAACCCCATCATATCCTCCCAGGCCCAGAGCAGTGCTCCCCCCTGTCAGCACAGGCTGCGACTGGAGATGTGAGAGGGTCAGGAAATGCAGATTGAAACTGGCAAGGCATGGAAATAAATTTAGAATGGATGGAAGAGAGGGGGGAAAAAAAGAATGCATGAAAGCTCTGCTTTCTTCTGCTTTGCATTTGATAGGAAGAGACACTTCAAACCTGAGGTAATAGGCAGGCAGCACACAGCTCCTTGCTGGTTCGCCATCCGCAGACACTGTCTGTGCCAGGAAGGGAAAATAAATAAAATGAAAGGGCTTTCTAAAAATGGAGTTTGGGACTTCCAGGCAGAAAGAGACAGGGACTGGTTCTGCCCTTCTAAAGCAGCACCTAGGCCTGGGCACAGAGGGTATGGTTTATGCTGCCAAGGGAAATCACTCCCTCAAAATCCAAACCGGTGCTAAAACCAAATTAGTTACATCGGGTCAAGCTCTTTGGCCTTTGCTCTGTATCACATTTACCAGCTGGGATCTGGTGAGGAATCCTCCCAGTGCAAAAAATCAGAGAAAGAGGGATACAGCATTCAGAGCAGAGAGGGGGATGCAAGGCTGGAGCAGGTAAGAGTGGGAGAGAGAAAGCGCCCAAGGAGCCAGGAGTGAAAAGGAAAGCCCCCATGATGCAAGGGGAGAAATTAGGTGTCAAAACAAAAAATGGCAGCAAGAGCAGATGGAAAGAACCCAATCCAAAAACCCTTGCTGGGTATTTCAGGCACATCTTTGCACAGAGAAAGGCCTCCAGGTGATGCACAGTGTTTGCAGCTCTCTGCAGCGGAAGGGCAGGGAGTGCATCTTTGAGACTCTGCAGCTCCTGCTCCCAAAACGCTCCAGCCAAAGGGCTCGGCTTCCCAGGACTCCAGCAGCACAGGGTGCTGATGGCATCTCACACAGGCAGCACTTCTTGCTCCTTGGCATTCCTCCTGCCTTCACCCCATAACTGTCTATGGTCCTGGAAGATGAACTGTGTCCCTGATGCTTCTTATAGACAGTCCCAGCGACAGCCAAATGCTATCACCAAAGCACCCACCTCAATGCTCGCCCTTTCTCTATCATCTCCTGCGAGAGAGGGGCAGGTTCTCCCACACAGACTCCACACCACAAACCTCGCAGGTGAACAAGCTCCTGGTAACTCATAACACAGGACTGACGCCTGGTATTTAGCCAACAAGCTTTGCCACACCAATCACACCTGAGCAATGCCTCCCATTTGCAGGGTGTAGAAGTTTTTCCCTAAAGAGAGGTGAATGCCAGTGGTCCCCAGGTTGCACACACACTGAGCAGTCTGCTCGGCTCTGCAGCACCAGGAGATGAGCACCCTGGGTAGGAACATGCCAGGCTAAACGACCCCAGCAAAACCAAGTACGCTGCCAACAAATTTTGGAGACGGGATCCAGGGAGTAGGATCCAAGCCACTCCACATCTCTGCAGGGCACAGCCACCTGCCATTTCTGCAGGAGACAGAGCAGTTTGGAGATGGGAAGTACTCCAGGCTGGAGTAGTTACAGTGACACCTTTTAGCTGTACCCTTTCCTCTTCCAAGTCTTTTTATAACACTGAACTCAATCTCTTCAAACAAACCACCAGGTCTTGGCACTCTACAACCCAAGTCTGACACAATCTAGAGAAGAATCTAGGAAACCAAAACCACAAA